TGGCCCATGGAGGGGCTCAATAAAAACCCTCTTCTCTCTTCTTTTGGAGAAAGGCTCATCTGCCTAGCACACAAGATCTGAGCGCTCTGAGGTGCGGCTCAGTTCATCCTGAAACTCTTGTCCAGAAAGCTCTCCTCCTTTCTCTCTTCTCTGCTGACTTAAAGGATTCCATTGGAAATTCATTCCATTGGGTTAGGTGTTGCCTTCCATCCAGGTTTTGTTCTTTGCATTTATGTTGAGAGGTGGTGGGACTGGGATTTGAAGGCACTGGGTAATATAATGCCTGAACAGGGTCTTAACCGCTCCGTCCTCCTCCCTTCCGGGGACCACACAATGTCTTATCAGGGATTTATCTTCCACACCTCCCTTTCCTGGCTTGCTGGGAGGGCCTGCTCTCCTGCTGAACTTGGTTTTGTCAGTCAGAGACCGCATTCTCCCTCACTCCACACACTTTGGTTTGATGGGAAATTGGTCCTTTTTTTTTTTTTTAAAGTTAAATTTATTGGAGCCACATTGTTTAATAACATTATATAAACTTCAACTTTATGACATCTGTATAATCCACTGTATGCTCGCCACCCAAAGCCTAGTGTACCTTCATCACCGTATATTTGACTCCTTTTACCCTTTTTGCCCTCCACCATGTCTCTCCCCCTCTGGGAACCACAATTCTGTTGTTGATATCTATGAATTTGTCTGTTGCTTTTTGGTTTTTTCTTGATCTCACCTGTCCTGTCTTCCTACTGGGCCAAGTTAACTGTTCCCTTGCTCTGTTCTCCCAGATACACAGTGACTAACTCATCACATCTCTTTTAGGCACATGAATAGTTCTCTGTCTCCCTTGAAAGACAATGGATTCCTCAAGGACAGGGCTCATATCTCATTTGGTTAGGTATAGGCCTAGTGCCTAGGGCCCAGTGCCCAGTGCCTAATGCCTAGTGCAATGTGAGTGCTTGAATGGGGAAGTGACAGGCATGAAGGTCTGAGTAAACCCCATCAGTAAATTACAAATCACTCAGTTCAAATTGCTGCTGGCCTCAGAAGTTGCTCAGGATTGGACATCTGTGGGATTCTTTCTCTCTCTCTCTCTCTTTTTTTAATGAATGAGAGTAAATTAATGTATATTAGTAAGTGAAGAGCCATCCATTCAATCATTTTGTTCCCTTAAACTTTTTGAATGATTTTCTCAATGTAGCAATTGAATCCATTCGACAGCTTGAGTTAATCTGAGTCTCTCAAAAAATGGGATTGGGTCTCGAGCAGCAGCAGGAGAAGGGATTCAATGACTTCTAGGGTCACTTAGTTTAGATATAAGGGGTGGGGTGAGGCAACAATGACACACCTGGCTTCTGGACAGGGTACGGTTCCTCATGTGCCCAGCCTGTATCTTCCTGCAGAACAAGAGACAACTGAGGGTTTGGGGACAGTTTGGCTGCTTGGTGGTGGCCGGATGATAGGTGTGCCCAGCAGGCAGGGTAACTGTAGCTTCACACAGTGAAGCACAGTCATTTTTAACTCAGGTCATAATTCACGGTGGGTCTAGGACAAGGATTGGGAAATTAAAGCCTGGGGGGGCCAAACCCAGCTCCAGCCTGTTTTCATGCTGCCTGTGAGCTAAATTTTATATATTTTTAGAGACATAGGAAGGGAGGGAGAAAGAGGGGGAGGGAAACATTGATGTGAGGGAGAAACACCGATTGGCTGCCTCTCATACCTTCCCCCATCGGGACTGAACCCGCAACCTAGGCATGTGCCCGAGTGGGAATCAAACTTGTGACTGTTCACTTGGTGATATGACGCCAGCCCACTGAGCCACACTGGTCAGGGTTTTTACATATAAATGGTTGCAAAACACACAACCCCCCCCCACCAAAAGAATATGCAGCCAAGATTGTATGTGGTCACAAAGCCTAAAATGTTTACTATCTGGCAGAACAGGTTGATGGCCCTACGCTAGAAGGCAACAGTGTTTTCCTCAGGGATCCAGGCTCGTTCTGTCTTGTAATCCCCATGCACTGATATCTCCACGGCTTCAGAATTTAGCCTGTGAATGGAGGAAAGAGAAAGTGGGAAGGCACACCTACTTCCTAAGTACCTCAGCCAGCTCGCAAGTGGAATGTGAACTGCATCCTTGCCTGGATACAAGGGAGTGGGAACGTAGCCCCTGGCTGGGCATCTTTCTCCCAAGGACTCCACACTGAAGAAGGGGAAGCATGATTATTTATTCTGTGTGTGTGTGTTCACTAGTCCACTTCTTTGCCCATCCTTCATCTGTTGAGAAATAAAAGCAGCCTTTTTCTCTTCTTTTTTAAATTGACTTTATTAGGGTAACACTGGTTCGCAAAACCATACAGGTTTCAAGTGTACACCTCAATTAAACATCACCTGCACACTGCATCGTGCACCCAGTACCCCAAGCTAAGTCTCTTTGCAGCCCCATTCCACTCCCCCGTTTTGCTCCCCTCCACCTAGTGCCCACCCCTTCTCCCCTCAAAAGCAGTTTTTTTTCCAATGTGACTTATCTGGACCAAAACAAATGCCCTCAGGTTCTGGCATCCTCTCTTTAAGTCACGGATCAGAGAACTGAAACTATTATAAGGTACTATCTGCTCTGTACCAGGTACAGTGGTGGATGCTGGGGCACCAGCTCTGTACCAGGCCCTGTGCTGGATGCTGGGGGCCAGATGCTCTGTACCATGATGCCTCTCAGCATCACCATGTGTCTTGGTACAGAGCAGGTGCCTGTCATGTGTTGGCCTGAACTGCGTACAAGCTTGGAGGAATGAGGGAAGGAAAAGTCTTCCTAGTGAAGACAGGACTCTTGAATGCTAGTCACCCCTGAAAGGATGAGTAAGATTTAGAAATAATAGTAGCAATTCATGGATGAGGCAGACCAGCTAGTAAATTGCAGAGCCAGGGTTTGATGCCAGGTCTGTTTGACTGAATCCCATGCTTTTAATGACTATGAAGAAGAACAAACACTTCAGATAACTTGACCATGAAGAATTTTACTGTGTCTATCACTCAGAGTCAAGTCAGGCTTCTATAGCATGAGGGTCTCTGTAAGGAAGGGCATCTCGGAAGAGCGAGCATTCTTCCCAGGCTGCTACACTGTCAGCCAAATTGCTAAGGGGAGACATGTGCAGAAATTGTACCCTGAAATTTCCTGGAACCAACAGAACTGTGAAGCATCTGGGGCTACAATGCAATTATTTGGCCAGGAAGCCAGTGTTCATAGACCACTCACTGGGGGGATGTTGGGGCCTGTACTTAGGCGTGGTGGAGACACATACAGGAATCCAAAGACTTTGACATTTTTTATTTCTACTTTGTATCTCTACATGCTTTTATTGCCATGAAATCATGGAATGTTGAAGCCAGAGGGAACCTGCTTAATACTTTTTTTGAGAAAGAGCAAGGGTTTTAAACTCTGACAAACTTGGATTCAAATTTCAGTTTAGGCATTTTGGACCGTAGACAAAACGCTATTTCTTTTCGTCCACAGGGTCAGAGATATTGAAGAATTTGCCCAAGGCTATGGAGTCAGAACATGTAATTGTTTTTATTAGCTAGTACTGCTTAACAAGCCAGTCCAAAACTTAGTGGCTTATAGTATCAACAATCATTTATTTAGCTCAAAATCTGTAATTTGGGGAGGGCTCAGTGTTAGCTGGCCCAGCTTGACAGGGGACTGAAGGACCTATTTCTCAGATGGCTCATTCACCTGGCTGGCATGTTGGTGCTGTCTGTCAGTGGGAGCTCAGCCAGGGCTGAGGGCTATGACCCTTAGCCATTCCATTGAGGCCTTTCTGCGGGCTCCCTGGACTTCTTCACACCATGGTGGCTGGGTTCCATTGCTGTCAAGCAGTCATGAAACCCAGATTCCAGGGGAGTGGCTGTACACCTCACTTTTTGATGCAAAAAGTGTCAAAAAAATTTTAGGCTTTGTTTTCAGCCTGCCACAGTAATGGGGACATTATATTCTCTCACTCAATCCTAAAATAAGGTAGTTAACCTATTTGGATCTCTTTTTGTATTATCTCTTTTTAAAAAATGAGTATTTAGTGATTCACACATGGTCACATATTTTAAGTTGATGTTGGAGCTAGTATTCAAACTCAGTCCTGTGGATGCTATATTTTAATAGTTCTGTTCACTCTCCATACCTAGTGATCATGACCATCACTATTCCATGCTTTGCTTGCAACAACCACTCAAACCTTCCTGCCTCCCACCTTGTTCCTTCTGAGGGGCAGAAAGCACAGTTCTCTTTCCTTGCTGAGAACTCTTCAAGACTCTCCATTGACCTCAGAATGAAGCTTTGTTCCTTTTCTTAACTTGGTTACTATTCTTCATGATGTCATCCCAGGACATTCCTCAAGCTCAATAATATTAATCTTCCCTTCATGCTCTATCCCAGGAGAACCACATGTCAATTTTCCTTAATATTTATTGACCCAAACATGATGCTAAATGCTTTAGGACTACTCAGTTTAAATTTTCAGAACACTAATTCAGTTGGGGTTTTTTGGTATTTGAAGCTGGGTGCATTTGATTAGGAAGCCAGGCTCTTACCCTCTGTGGTAAACTAGAGATGCCTGAAGTTTCTCAAATGCGCAATGTTCTCTCTGGTGTCTGAGACTACTTCTGTTGTCTGTACATCACTATTTAGATCTCAGTAACTTACACTTATTTTTCAGGTTCCAGTTTAGACAGCTCTTTCTCCAGGAAGATGTCTCTGATTCCTCAAGACTGGTTGAGCTTCCCCTTTATTTCCTCCCACAATATCCTGTCTCATTGCTTTCTAGAACTTTTCATTGTGTTCTGAAATTGTTTATTTTCTTGTGGTCCTAAAAGACTATACGTTCTTTGAGGATAAGGGTAGTGTCTTCACTTTCCTCTTCTGAAGTAGAAGATATTTCAGTCTCGCATCCTCACAGGTTCTCTTTTAGTTGTCCTTATCTACAAGACTATGAAACTACTGAGCTCTCACTCCCAATATGCAGCCATATACCCCAAACTGGACCCATGTAACAAAGTTTGTCATGGTGGGTTTTGCTGGGGTGCATGAAACATGCCTTCTTTTCTTTACACTTTCCCTCACCATGTACCTTATTACCTTGGTGGAGAACCTGGTCATCATCATGCTGGTGAGTTTGGATCATTGGCTACAAAGACCAATGTACTTCTTCTTGAGGCACTTGTCCTGCCTTGAAATCAGGTATACCTCAGTCACGGTGCCCAAGATGCTCACTGGTTTTTATCGGGGAGATGGGGACAAGAATATCTCCTGTGCTGGTTGCCTTTCCCAGCTCTTCATCTTCATCTTCCTTGGGGCAACTGAATGTTTTCTACTGGCTGCCATGGCCTATGACCACTATGTGGCCATACGTATTCCTCTCTGATATGGGGCCTTGATGTCCTGGGGCACCTGCATCTGCCTGGCTGGTGCTTGTTGGCTGGTGGGCTTCCTCACACCTATGTTTTCCTTCTACCTCACGTCCCAGCTGACATTCTGCAGCTCCAATGTCACTGACCACTTCTGTGATGCTTCACCTCTGCTAGCCCTGTCCTGCTCAGATGTTACCCTGAACGAGACTGCAGACTTCCTGATCTCTCTGGCTGTGCTCCTGACCTCCTCTGCGGTTATCGTTATGACCTGTGGCAATATTGTCTGGACGCTGCTGCATACCCATTCAGCGACTGAGCACCAAGAGGCCTTCTCCACTTGTGCAGCTCACCTGACTGTGGTGAGCCTCTACTATGGCACTCTTTTCTTTATGTATGTCTGGATGAAAGTGACCTCCTCCAACAACTTCAACAAGGTGGTGTCTGTCTTCTACTTCATTGTCACGCCAATGCTCAACCCCCTCACATATAGTCTTCGAAACAAGGAGGTGAAGGGAGTTCTGAGCAGAGCATTTTTCCTCAAGCCTTGGAAAGGCCAGTGATGGGGCAGGTGAGGTCCAGTTCTCTTGCCCTTTAGAGAGAGAGTGGCGAGGACTATGGTATGTAGCAGTGGCCTAGGTGGTCAGGAGTTATGGACTGTGTGTTAAAGTAAAATGCTAATCTGCTTTAACAGGAGAGGCCTAACTATAATGTAGCTTGAAGAACAAAGGAGATTTTTCTCTTTCCTGCTGGAATCAAAGGTGAATGCTCTCAGTTGGTGGGTGACTCTGCTCAACAGCATATAAGGATCTAAGCTTCTTGCATCTTGTGGGCCCGTGGATCAAACACAGCTCAACACTTGTTTTTAATGACCTGTGAACTAAGAATGGTTTTTATACTTTAATATGGTGGAAAACCAATCAAAAGTAGAATAATATTTCATGATACATAAACATTTTATAAAATGAAAATGTCAATGTCCATAAATAGTTTTATTAGAACACGGCCACATCATATGAATTGTCTCTGCTTTTGGGCTACAATGACAGAGTTGAATTGTTGTGACAGAGACCATTTGCTAACCTCCAGCCTAGGACCTTCCTGTAATTTGTATGATCAACCCTGGGTTTCAGTGGGCAGGGAGGATGGAGCATGGAGCTGGTACACACTGTGTCTTAAGGTTTCTGCACTGGATGTAGCAATCATCATTTCTACTCACCTCTGTTGGTTAGAAGTTAGTCATAGGTCACATCTAATTGCAAGAGTGGTAAATATCTTCCATAACTAACCTGCCAGATACCTAACCAGAACTGATTATTGTGGAAAAATTGAGGAACAAATTTTGGTAGACAGGCAGTAGTTTCTACCATGAAGTCCCCAGAATCACAGCTGATTTTCCATGTGATCCATGTATTTATCTGCTTTGTAGCTACATTCTTTTGTTTGAAATATGGAACAGTCTTTCCTCTATACCACATACTCTTTGAAAATTGATTTAAGAGGATCTCTATGGCAATGTCAGCTCCCTTGAAATAAGATTTAAAAAGACAATTATAATTCAAGAGTTTCCTGCTTGTAGATAGTTGCCCTTCCTGAAGACATTTACATCATTATTTGTAGTATGTGAGAGAGGAAAGTGTTGAGCTTGGGATTGGGTGGGGGCAGAACATATTTTCTGTGATGATGTTTTTAAACTGGCCAATAATGACCCAAACTCATGTTGGTGCCTGTAGCATCACAGCCTCTGCACCCCACACACAGTATCTTAGCAGTTGCAATTTTAATAGTCAACAATGAGGGCACAATTCACAAGTTGTGAAAACCATTTTATTTATTGAATATTATCTCAGTAATGCACTTTATACTCTTTTGGGTGATGACAAGATGCCAAAACTGTGCAAAGATCAAATATAAGAATTCATCTGTATGAAATCATGAAAGAAGTAGATACTTTGAGGCAACTGACCTGAGTAGATTTGACCACAGAATGAATTTGACTTGTAGGTTTCTGACTGATGGAAAGAAAGTAAAACATACTGGATGCATTAGTCAGAGTTCTCCAGAGAAACAGAATCAACAGGATCTCTCTCTCCAGACAGACATGCATCTTTACACAGAGATATACCCACAGACACATATATATGTATATAGAGAGAGATATATACATATACATATATACCTATGTATAATAGGAGATTTATTTTTGGAATTGGTTCATACAGTAATAGAGACTGAGAAGTCCCATGATTTGCCATCTGTGACTTGGAGAATCAAGAAAACCACAGGTATAATTCAGTCTGAAACTGGAGCACTAATGTCTGGGGGAAGGAGAAGATGGCTGTCCCAGCTCAAGTAAAGAACAAATTCACTCTTCTTCAGCCTTTTGGTTTAACTCAGGCCCTCAACGGACTGGATAATGCCCACTCGTGTGGGTGAGCACCACCTTCTTTACTCAGTCTACTTACTCAAATCCTTTCAGAAACCCTCTCACAGACACACCCAGAAATAAGGTCTTACCAACTGTCTCTCAGCATCCCTGAGCTCAGTCTGGTTGACACGTAACACTTAACATCACCCTGGGTTATATCGTTCCCATATATGGTAGCAGAAAGAATTCAAATTCAAACACAGGACGTGCTTTTTTTCTGGATTTTGGGAACCACTCTAAGAACCACTCCATGGAGGTACCAGTAAAGCTTACAAATCTAAGCTTCTTGAAGAAGAAACCTATATTTTGAGATAAATTACATAAAATGGTAAATGCTCTTAGCAAGGATTCTGTACGTGTGAAGGTGTATGCGGCTTTAATAAAACCTGATATAAGGAACTAAACTGAAAAAAGAAAGGTCTTTGTGTGATGATTTATGTTATAAAATAACTACTCCATTAAAAAACAGACATAACTACCAGAATCTGAGGTGCATGATATGTATAGGTATTGACAGCTAAAGTTTTAAAAAAATTATGTTTCATCTTCAACATAACTTTATATTGGTCTCAGGTGTACAGCATAGTGGCCAGGCAATCATACACTTCACAAAGTGTCCCCTCAGATATTCTGAGCACTTACCTGGCACCATTCATAGTCATTGGAACATTATTGACTACATTACTTATGGACTGCTGAAGCTTTAAAAGCCACTGTTAATGAAGATAAATTATAAAATCATGTCAGGGAAAAAATGCATATTTTTGTGTATAAGGAATTTCTGAGGATACAATTCCTTCTTTGGGACTATATTTATCCATACATTAAAATATAGTCATGGGAAGTGCTAGCTTAATTTAGACACTATTTCATTGGTACTCAGAGAATGTCACAAAGAGTGATTCCCAAGAGAAACAGGACTTATTAAGATATAATTCTGGGGAGGAGAATTAAGATGGCAGAGGAGTGAGCAGAAGTCACACGGACCTCCTCCCAGGACCAACCTGGAATTACAACTAAATTGTGGAGAAATCACCTGGAACAAACAACAGAACAAGAGTGAGAAAGGAGCCTTTTAACCTCGGATAGATAGAAGAATCAGCTCCTGGGTGGTAGAGGCTCGAGTGTGGTAAGGAGTGTGGTAGAGACTCGAGAAGGTGGGCGGGGTGCCCACAGGTGGCAGCACCAGAAGGATATTGAAATGGCCAGTGGATCCCCCTGGGAAGAGAGGGGTCTAAACCATAAGTGGGGATCCTCAGCCTACAGCACCAGAGCCCAAGAAGTACACAGAAAACAGCCAGCTGCGAAAAGCGGCAGAGTTGCTCTCTGCCAGAGACAGGCAGCTGGAGACACAAAGAGCTGTTTAAAGGGCCAACACATAAATTTTTGTTTTCAGCCACTTACCCTGGGCTCTGGCAAAGGCCGGGGTAGAGTGGACTAGAGACACCCGAGGAGAGGTTGGAGAACGAGGCTCTGGAGAGAGAACTGACAGTGGCCGGTGGGATCTGGGTGCTGACTCATCCCCCATACAGCAGCAGCCATCTTGCTCAGGCAGACCACACCCCTGGGTGGAAACAGCCTGAGAGGACACAATAACCCTGCCCCAAGGAGGGACTCTTCCCTGCCCTGTGCTATCTCTATGCCAGCCTGCTGAGTGCAGAGTGACTATATTAACAGCTGAAGGTGACAGCCACAGACAGTAGATTTCTGGAAGGTTTGAACAGACTGCCTAAGGCCAACATCTGACATCATCAGAGGCAGATCTAGAAAGAAAATAAACAGCGGTCTCCTACCATAGAATTTCACACCACAAAGTCGGGAAATCAAGACAGACCAATTTAATAAGCAGAAGCAAAAAAAGAGAAGAGTCTCACAAATAATGGGAAGACAAACACCCCCCAACCAAAGGGAAAGGAGGAATCCCCAGAAAGAGAACTAAGTGAAATAAAGGCAAGCAAACTAGCAGATATTGAGTTCAAAATAATGGTTCTAAGGAAGTTCAATGAGTTCAGTGAGCTCAGAGAGCTCAGAGAGAACTACAAAAAGCTACAGGGAAACTATGAAGAACTTACTGCAAACTATATCAACATGAAAAAGGACATAGAAACTATCAATAAGAGACAAGAGGAAATGAAGAATACAATTTCTCAGTTGAAGAACACAGTAGGAGGAATCAAAAGTAGGCTTGATGAAGCAGAGGATCGAATCAGCAAGCTGGAGGATAAGGTAGAAAAAAGCTCCCAGAAAAAAGCTATCCATTTTATCCAAGAAAATGAAAAATGACTGTAAAAGAATGAAGGGGCGTTTAGGGAAATGCAGGAAACCTGAAACGTAACAATATCTGTATTACAGGGATACCAGAAGAAGAAGAGGAGCAAGGGATTGAAAACCTGTTTGAAAAAGTAATGATGGAAAACTTCCCTAACTGGAAGAGAGAAAAAGTCATACAAATCCAGGAAGCACAGAGGATCCCATTCAAGAGGAATTCCATGAGGCCCACTCCAAGACACATCATCATTAAGATGGCAAATATCAAAGACAAACAGAATCCTAAAGGAAACAAGGGAGAGAAGGTAGTAACATATAAGGGAACCCCAACACGGCTAGCAGCTGACTTTTCAACAAAACACTGCAAGCCAGAGGGAATGGTGAGAAATATTCCAAGTCATGAAAAGCAAAGGCCTGCAACCAAGACTGCTCTACCCAGCAAGGCTCTCAATTAAAATGGAAGGTGAAATAAGGATTTTCTCAAACAAAAGAAGGCCAAAAGAATACACCTCCACCAAACCAGCACTGCAAAATATGCCAAAGGGACTACTTTAAGAAGATGAAGAAAAAGAGTCTATTAATACCCAGTTCCTTTCACAGTCTCTAATACTTGATATTACCAATATTTTTAATACTTACTAATCTGATTATGACAATGATGTTATTTTAACTGTTACTCTATTATTTGTTGAAATTAAACCTGTTTTTGTATATGTCTTGCCTATTTCTATTATTTTTAAAAAAGCTTTAAATGATTTTTTGTTATTCTTTATCCATTTTTTGATTAAATGTTTGTAGAATTTTTCCTTAAAAAAACTATTAACCCTTTTTTAGATGTGTTGCAAATACTTTCCTATTCTATTACTT